TTTATTAACATTCGAACATGTTATCAAACACAGTACTCAAAACTTATTTAAACTTTTTAAAAACAAAACATTCAACTTTTCAAAAGATTTAAAAACATTCAAACTTTCTATAAGATATATTCGTAAAAACAAATGCGCCCGGAGGTAAAATGTACGGCCGTATACTCGTAACTACCCAAAAGAGAGAGGCTTCTCCTCCTCTTATGGAATGATAGGATCATTCAAGGCAATGATCCACATGGTGTTGAACCGTGATGGAAAGTGCATTTAAAAGGCTTCTCTCTTAAAGAAAACATGGTGTTGAACCGTGATAGAAAGTGCATTTAAAAGGCTTCTCTCTTAAAGAAAAGGAAAAAAATTATACGAGGATGCAACCTTATAATGTAGAACTCATGCACTTCAAAAATTTATTGAAAAAGGTAGTTTTAATGTTGAAAAACCCATAGATTGATCATCTCGACGGTCAGGATGTATGACCATGAAAAATAAACAGATTTTAAGTATCAGAAACAATATATTTTACAACATATTATCTTGAACGTCTATTTTTAAGATTTTCATATGTTTATAGATTTACTTGATTTTAATTATTTTTAAAATTTAAAATTTTTATAATTAAATATAAAAATAAATTATAAAATAATCCTCAAAACATTTTACCTCAAAATTATATACCTCAATAAAATTTAAAGGTACACTTTTACCTCTACAGCTACCGATGCATCCGTATGCGAACTGCACCCTAAAGAAAAGGGTGATTCTGCTCCATATTGGCCCATATAAAAAGGGTTATACGGTCTATATTGCTACATAGAAAATACAGAAGAGAGAGAATATGGAGATCTGCATACTTCATTCTTTCCCCTCTCCCTACCGCTTTAGACTCGTCCTCTTCCTTTGAGACCCTGCAAGGCCGCAACCTAAGTGGGAGAAGGACCCAAAAATCCAAGCCACAAGATCAGTAGAAATAACAAGAAGAAGATAGCCTGAAAAACCCATTGGAGTGCCTGAAAACTGCCATGAAAACCTCTCGCCAGAGCCCAAGAACCACTTTGCTAACTCATTTAAGAATCTGAGAGAAAAGCTCAAAAATCCCTCTAGAGAGAGAATCTCACCCTTTAGAGAAAGAGAACCAAATAGTGGCTAGTGTGCTCTTTAAGAGAGAGAACTACAACGCCTTTAGAGATCAAAGCCCCTATAGAGACAGAGGAAAGCCCCTTACTAAGGGCAGAGAAAACCTCTTCTCAGAGGCATAGAACCACCATAAGAGCCCAAGAGAATCTCCGGAAAACCACCATAAAACCCCCACAAAATCATTTCAGAATTACATAAAACCTGTACAAATCACCGGAAAACCACTATCAAAACCCAACATTAATCCCTGAGAAACCCACCGACAAAGCTCCTTGTAAATCCCTGAAAACCACCATCAAAACCCTTCAAGAAAATCACCAAGAACACCTACTAGACACAAAAGAGCCATGGCCAATGACCAGAGCCCTGACGCCTCAGAAGACCAGCAGAAGCGCTCAGAGATCTACACCTACGAGGCACCATGGCACGTCTACGCCATGAACTGGAGCGTTCGCAAAGACAAGAAGTATCGTCTCGCCATAGCCAGCCTGCTCGAGCAATACTCGAACCAGGTCCAAATCGTTCAGCTCGATGACTCCACTGGTGAGATCAAATCTGACCCCAATCTCTCTTTCGATCACCCATACCCACCCACTAAGCTCATGTTCGTCCCCGATAGAGACTGTCAAAAACCAGACCTCCTTGCTACCTCAGCTGACCATTTAAGGATTTTTCAAGTTTCCCAAGATCGAGTAGAGCTCAAAAGCTTCCTCAATAGCAACAAAAACAGTGAGTTCTGTGGCCCATTAACCTCTTTCGATTGGAATGAGGCAGAGCCTCGAAGGATCGGAACTTCCAGTATTGATACCACCTGCACAATCTGGGATATAGAGAAAGAAGTTGTTGATACCCAATTGATTGCTCATGATAAAGAGGTCTATGATATAGCCTGGGGTGGAGTTGGGGTGTTTGCATCTGTCTCTGCTGATGGGTCAGTTAGGGTTTTCGATCTTAGAGATAAGGAGCATTCGACTATAATTTACGAGAGCTCTCAACCTGACACCCCACTTGTTCGATTGGGTTGGAACAAGCAGGACCCAAGGTTCATGGCCACCATTATAATGGATAGTGCAAAGGTGGTGGTTTTGGATATAAGGTTCCCTACTTTGCCTGTGGTTGAGCTTCAGAGGCACCAGGCTAGTGTCAATGCCATAGCTTGGGCCCCTCATAGTTCTTGCCATATTTGCACAGCTGGTGATGATTCTCAGGCTTTGATTTGGGATTTGTCATCCACCGGGCAACCCGTTGAGGGTGGTTTGGACCCGATTCTCGCTTATACAGCAGGCTCAGAGATTGAGCAGTTGCAATGGTCGTCAACCCAGCCTGATTGGGTTGCTATTGCTTTCGCCTCGAAGCTTCAGATTTTGAGGGTCTAAGGAAAATGTGGGTTTTGACTCCTTTTCATATGGGTAAGTTTTAGCCTTTTTACCAACTCTTTTGTTGTAATTTGGGTGTAGAAAGGTCATGGTTTGGTTGCAGGCTCAAGATTAATTGATGAAAATTGATAGTGCCTTGTACTTGCCAGTTAATATGACCTTTTGTCTGCCTTATGCGGAGAATAGTCACTGATTTCTTTCTCCTTTTTTTTTTTTTAATGCATGTGACCTTTTTCTCTATGTTGTTGGAATAATCTATGGAAGGGTTATTAATACAAAATGCAACTGCTGAAATTCAATAATTTTTGTGGCTTTGTGAATCGATTTGTTTTTGAGAATCGGTTAACTTTATAAAGTAGGAAAATTACATACTTATTAAGAGCATTAGAGGCAGCCCACAACCTGGGTGCTCAGTGTACACAGCGAGAGGGGCTGAGGGGAGAATGAATTGCTAGGAGAAGAGGGGAAGGAGTAAGAAAACAAATAATAAGATAAAACCTAAAGCAATACAAGATTATAAAACTAAAATTAAACCTAGAACAGAAAAACTTGACAACTCTAGGAATAGACACTCTAATTGTATAGGCCTCAACCTTGACGAAGCAACGACTCTCCGTGACACAAAACAGCAGTAGCTTGTAGATGGGGGCAGTAGCAACAGCAGCAGCATCTAATGAGGCAGACACTTTAACTTAGCATGCTCTTACATGGAAGACCCTCTTCGTGCTTCTTCCACCCTGAGTGAGATCGTTTTGTGAACGGGTGCAGGGAGATGAGGGAGAAGAGAAACAAGGAGAGAGGAGACGGGAACAGGATAGAGAAGAGATGACCTGGAGAAAAGAGAAAGGTGGAGAGAAAAGATATGCGAGACTGAAAAACAGAAAAGGGTGAGGATGTTAGAGGAGTATGATGAGTGAGGTGAAGAACGAGTGGGGGAAGAGAAGAAAAGGCAGAAGAGAGAGAGAGAGAGAGAGAGAGAGTGAGAGAGAGAGGTGCGGGATACAAGTCTGTAAATCGATTTGTTTCTGAATTATCAAGACTGGATTATTTCTTCTTTTTTATGCATTTCCTTTTTCATCTTTTATCAATATCTGGTATTAGTGGAGTTTCGTGTTTAGTGGAGTTTCGTGTGCTATGATAAGTGCTATGCTTTTTGGGATTAATCGAAGTGCAATATGCTTGTGAGCAGCTTCAGCATTCAATGGGCCTCGTTTTTTTGTTCTGTTTCTTTATGTAGTCTTCTTATTCTTAAGATAATTGATGAGGATTATAGAAAATGAAGTTAATGAGTATTTTAAGGTGTGTCAGCTCATTTGTTATGGTGAATGTACACTTACAAGCAGAAGCTTTGGAGCTCTTCAAATATTTAGAACTTTTCCCATGTAAAAACCTTTGTGAGTGATATGCTACGCCTATCTTAGGAGAAATCCGGTTTAATGGAGTCTTCATATGGTATAATGAGTTCTATATTGCTTATTATTCGAAAGCAGCTTAAGCCATGTATTCTCTTCTTTTCTCATTTTTACTTTTTTTCTTTTTGATATGGTGGGCTCTTATAATTATGATAACCATTGAGGATTATTGACACTGATAATTGATGATTATTGTGTATTCATGTTTGTTATGGAAATGTCTATTGATTACAACTAGAAGCTTTGGAGCTCTTTTTAACTTAATATGGACTTTCGTTAATGTAAAACTTTTGTGAGCCATATGCTGCACTGTTAAGGTTGCAAAATAGACTTAGTATTTCTTTTAATAAGAAGTACATAAAAGCTAAATTTTAGTTAAGTCTGTTCGGTATATAATTATTGTAAAGAAAAATTATATTGTCTATTTATGGGATTAGAAACGTCATCTCAGGATGCTATTTATCAGACTATTCAAACTTTCAGGATAGAGATAAGGATGATTTTAATGGTCCAAACTCTTTAATATTTAGTCGTATCGTCAGGTCCTACCCTTAATTCACCATTGCAGTCATAAATTAGTTCAGCTTTCCCTAACCTTGTAATTATTTATTTTGGTTGCTAACTGTGATTTCATTAATGGGCAAAACACAACAAAGCCTTCCACTATTACTCCTCCTCAGATGTTCACCTTAATTGGAATAACATGTTGACTACTAGGACTATGCGCATTCTTGGGGGTTCTCTTTGTAGGGCCTTGAAATTGGACAAACTAAGCCAAATTTCGATGGTTGCCTCCTTGACAACCCTTGTCCCTCTGGCATTGGCAAGGTTTCAAAAAATGCTAGGCAGCCTGCCTGGCGCCCAGCGCCCAGTGCCTAAGCGGGCACCCAGAACCTCGGGCGCCCCGTAATTTAAAAAAATGAAAAACGCCTAGCTCGCCTGGGCGCCTGCCTGGCCCGCTTGGGCGCCCGCCCAGGTACGCCCGCCTAGCTCGCTTGGGCGCCCGCCCAGGTACATCTGCCCGTGTAGGGCCGCCTGGGTCTAGGCGGGCAGATTTTTGGTTCAGGCCACTTGAGGGCCAAGCGGCCCGTTTTCTAAAACATGCCGCATTGGGGGTATTTTCAGAGATGTGGATAACAATACCCTCTTCTACTTCTCTCGCTTCATCAGCCACACTGAGTCCAACATGGCGGAGGCCTTAACCTTCCTCGAAGGCCTTCGCAACTTCAACCCTGCTTGGAGCCCTACTTTGATTATTTTAGGGACTGTAAGAATGTCATAGCCTGTGTCACGACCCCACCCCTTGACCCCTACCGTACTTGCCGGAGGGTAACAGAGTGTGGGATCGCGACGTGAGGTAGTGAATGCCACTCAGGTGGGAGTGCGTTCAACTTCTTTTTAGAAGGCGGAATCAAAGCAATCCGTGAAAGAAAGCAAAAACCATGCAAAAGTTACAAGAACTTGACAAAAAAATAAAACCAACTTATATAAATACAGGTTCCAAAATTTTAATTACAACACGTCCAAGGCTCTACAGGCCCAACCACAAAATACAATACTTCACCGAAACGACTATAAGGCCACTGCCAACAGACACCTACTATCAGGATAAAACTATCGGATCTTCAACCGCCAGCCACAAGTGCCCAGCCACCCGTTCAAAAATACCGTAGGTTATTACTCTACATAGAGAAAGTCAAAGGGATGAGCTATAAAGCCCAGTAAGCAGATGAAACATCATGTATTTCCTGCCTATGCAATGCCATTCATAACCATCCCCCAAAATTCATGCAAGTGTCACAACAGGGAGTCATGTATCAAAATTCTTAAGTAGTGGTGGCAGAAGTGTAAATCAGATATCAGAATATTATACATTGCATGAGCTAACGGTCTATCACATCCTTTCATCAAAATAACATATTAGTAATGCAAGCAAAACACATAGTGCATACAGGCAATCCTAGTGTCGCCTACCCCGAAGTAAAAGTCAAGTCAATCCTCTTACTTGAGACTTCTACCTAGACTCAGGAGGGAAGACAATGACAAATGAATAGCCCATTTCGTAATGTCTTCACGCACACACACAATCCCCAACGCACTTTGGGGCTTTTGATAGGCTGTGGCCTTGCAAGATACGACCCCCTCCTTATGCCTTTCTGGCGAGAGAGCGTTACACTACCAATGTGTGACCCAATGCATAGTGCCCATAAAGATTTGGGGGGCGCGACCCTCCCAATCATTCATATTCACATCCTAACTCTGGTCCTATCATGGGGAGCTAGGGAAGATCTTAACTGCCGACATAACTTTCTTATCATATCAGAACAGATTGTACTACCAACGGATGACCCGTTGCGTAGTACCTTTTACAAAATCCCAGAATCTCATGCCCTATTACCAATGGATGTCCCATTGCGTAGTGGTTCATATCACAGTTTTATCATATCAGATCCCCACTACCAATGGATGTTCTATTGCATAGTCGTTCATATTACAATCTTATCATATCAGATCCCCACTACCAATGGATGTCCCATTGTGTAGTGGTTCATATCACAGTCTTATCATATCAGATCTCCACTACCAATGGATGTCCCATTGCGTAGTGGTTCATATCACAATCTTATCATATCATACCACAACTATGCACATGCATATCTCATAAGCATTCACTCATGCCCAAGCATGTCTCATTATAATTATTCAAGAGTTCATGAGCATTGACTATATCATAATCATGCATATTCAATAATTCATAACAGAACAAGATTTTCAGTATATAGGCCTCTTAGAAAATTTGGGCTAACTTCCATTCCATTGGGATTTTAGTCATGTTTCTAAGACCAATTTGAAAATAAACTCATCCACCTTTCTTTTAGAAGTAGTTAGCCTTATTCAGAGACATATAGGTCAGCACACAACCTTCATAAAACATATAACAGTTATGGAATTTGCTGCAACTCACATCAGTGACATACGCATGCAAACATGGGCATAATTCTCAAATCATCATGAATTTCAACATGGTTCCAAAACCAAATTTAAAGGAGACACATCCGTCTTTCATTTAAAAGTGGTTTGAAGTCATTTGGACACCATTTGGTTGGTCAAAAGTTTAGTACAAAAATGAGCAACAGTCCTGGAAACTGCTGCAATTGATAACAGTGACATGTCTATACAAACAGAGGCATAACTTCCAAATTATGAGGAATTTCGACAATGTTTCAAAACCAAATTTAACGTAGGCACATCTATCTTTCATTTAAAAGTGGTTTGAAGTCATTTGGACACCATTTGGTCAGTCAAAAGTTTAGTACAAAAATGAGCAACAGTCTTGGAAAGTGCTGCAACTGATAACAGTGACATGTCTATACAAGCAGAGGCATAACTTCCAAATTATGAGGAGTTTCGACATTGGTTTCAAAACCAAATTTAAAGTGGGCATTTCCATCTTTCATTTAAAAGTGGTTTGAAGTCATTTGGACACCATTTGGTTGGTCAAAAGTTAAGTAAAAAAATGAACAACAGTCATGGAAACTGCTGCAACTGATGACAGTGACATGGTTATACAAACATTTGGACACCATTTGATAAGTCATTCGGACACCATTTGATAAGTCAAAGGTTCATTACAAAAACATGCAGGGTTCTTGGGAATTCACATGGGAATTCACAGCAAAGTTTTGGCACACCTTATAGAATAATCAATAACTCCCAAACTAAAATGGATATTAACGCAAAAACCTTTTTCATCTTAATTTAGACATACAGGGGTACTCTTCCACAGATTTTCATAACCACCAGAGTTATTTTCAGTACTAAATTCATCATGCCAATGAGGACCACAATTCTGTAATAACAGTGCACAAATAACACCATTTCACTACCATGCAGCCGTATTCCTATCAAAATTACATTTATACTTTGCTTAATTTTCATGCTTTAATCAAAACTATGGAAACATGAGTGTTAGATCCACTTACTTGTGCCCAAATGGTCTAATTCTCGTTCTTTATTCTATACAGGAACAATGTCCACAGAGGTGACCTTTCTGGATTTATTCAGTGCGTCTATATCTCTCATCTATAGTATTGTGGACTAAAAGCCATATAGGTTTTGTTTCGATACATATTTCCAAGCCATATCTTTCCCAGAAGAAAATTTAGGGTATCCTGAGAAACACAGGCTTTTTGATGTAGTATTCCTAGGTCCAGTGTTATCTGGTCAATCAGAAGCGTAACCGTGACGTTGCTACTTGGTTTAAATGAAGTTAGTGTAATTCCTTTGACAATTAAATAAAGATAGTGTAATTCCTTTGGAAACAAAGTCCTGCTTGGCTCTCCTGTAAAACACCTGATATGGTTTGCATCCTCCTTCAGCTCTTAAGTATAACAACCTAAGACCAAGAGTATTCGTATGGTTCTCTGTCTCCCTTAGCATGAGGCCTAGGTTTTATGGTAAAAAGTAGAGCCACACCTCAAAACACCAGCAGAAACTGCAGTTCCATTGCCAAAAGCCCCCACCATGGCATGAAAATCTATTTCCCCTCTGATTATGAAATTCGAAGCACCAAAAGTGGTGCAGACTTTGTGGATCTGTAAACACTTGAAAATGGACAGTTGAGATAATGTATTACAAGATACAATATTTTTAGGACTTGAAATCCTCTTTTTTCTTCATGTCCATAATTATTGAAGTCGAGATAATCAATTTGAAGGAGGTACGGCTTTACTTTTTTCATCTTAATGCCTAGGCCTTATGTACTTTTCCCTTAAAACGGCATAAGTTTATCGCACAGCGATCTCAGCCTTGATTTATTTTCTACCCTTTGTCTTTGGATTATACTACAATGCAGGAAGTATGGACATTTAGGCATGGCCTTGAGCATGAACATATTTCCAAAACATTTGAGTAAGCATTAGCTCTAGTTGCTGCCTCTGGATGTTGAGGGCCAGCTAAGTCCACATATCTAGTACTTTCATTATGTCTATTTTCTCTTGATGCTTTCTATGGTTATATGTTATTTTCTTCCCATTTTGTTGGCTGATTCGAGTTGTTGACAAGTTGTTGACAAAGATTATCTATGCACTAAGTGTTCTGGGGTCCCTTATAAGACCATTTCAAACAATAACCAAATTGTGGACAAATGTTGTCTCTTCCAAAGATTTCTTTGAATGTTGGAATATTGAAGGCTCTAATTGAACCTTTGATCCCTAAGGGTTGATATTAACCCCCTCTACAATACACAAATGCATGTAGAAGGTCTTTAAGATGGCTGTAAAACCCATTTCAAATGTCATGAAGTTATTGTGCCTTTGTAATTGAATGCCTGAGAGATATTATGCTGCATTTTCTTGTTCTTTCTTTTCATTAACTTCATCTAGTGGGCTCTAAACTGAAACATGATCGTGAAATACAAAGCACAATTACATTTGGAAAAGGAGCAAAAACTGTGCTGTCCATTGATACATAGATGAACCTGATTATGTTAAAGAAGGAACATGTATAAAGAACTTCCAAATTCTCAGTGCATCTCTTTTGAACCTAGAAACTGCAGAATTTTGTTGTTTATGTTGTAAAAAGAAACACGTCGTGAGTAAAAATTAGCTCAATCCTTTGCATTGCATTCCTTTGTAGAAGAGAAATTTCGAAAAAATAGAAAAAGAAAATACAGATTCAACTTAATCTGAAAGGCAATTTTGCTTCTGTTACCAATAGTCCTTGCAGGAACAAACCCCATCTTGGAAATGATGGAAGCGGTTTGCATCTCTCACCACAATCTTCCGCGTGTAAATGCTCGAAATGAACTTAAACGCAGAGTGGCAGTCTCCACAAACTCTGAGATTCTTAGTGATGCGTATTGGCATGCTGCCATGGATATTCATAAGCCCAAAAGCAATGGCAAGCTTCTCACTGTGAGAGTTTAGAATATGCTCCTTATCTTCCTCCTCAACATCATGCAGGACACAGCTCGTATCGGGGACATACCCCACCCTTTTGAGTTCAGCCACCAACCTCTCCATCTCTCTTTGAATCCTTTTGGATTGAGGATGAGACCAATCTGAAGAATGGAATACGTGTATCTCTTTCTCTAACTCAATCATACTACAAGCTGCTGGTTTCTTCAACCCTTTGCTCTTCATCACTCCCCTAAGCTTCCCAACCTCTTCCCAATGGTTAGAGGCAGCATAGATATTGGACATGAGCACATAATATCCAGCATGTTCTGGCTCAATTCTAAACAAGTTTTGAGCTGCATATTCACCTATTCTTGTGTTCCCATGGATTCTACAAGCCCCAAGTAACGCTCCCCATACCCCATCATTTGGTTTTGATGGCATCTGCTTTATCAATTCATGGGCTTCATCTAGATGCCCTGCTCTCCCTAGCAAGTCTACCATACAGGCATAATGCTTTACCATAGGCATCAACAGAGTCTCATTTGTCATATTTTCGAATAATTTCCTGCCTTCTTCTAGAAGACCTGCATGGCTACAAGCTGATAAGAGGCATGTATATGTGATATGGTTTGGGTTTATGCCTTCTTCGCACATCCGAGAGAAGGAAGCCATGGCCTCTTTCCCATGGCCATGATTGCCATAGCCTGATATCATCACGTTCCATGAGCTCACATCCCTTTTCGGCATGCTTTCAAAGATCCAGATTGCGCAGTCTAGGTCCCCACATTTAGCATACATGTCCACGAGTGAATTCCATATCATCATGTCTGGTTTTATCATGGCATTTTCCATGAACCCATGGACCTGCCTGCCTATATGTAAAGCCCCCAAATATGCACAAGCCGAAAGTGCAATCAACACTGAAACCGAATTGGGTTTTGGACCACAAAGCTTCATATGGTCGAAAAGCTTTAGAGCTTCATGGGCATGGCCATTCTGATCATAACATGTCATCATGGCGTTCCATGTGATACCATCACACTTTGCCATCCTGTTAAACACCAACCTCGCTATTTTGACACTCCCACATTTAGCATACATGGCCAAAAGAGAATTCTCCACTGCTAAATCTTCGACAAAACCAGTCAAAATTACAAAGGCATGGAGTGATTTAGCCATCTGCAAATTCCCCAATTGAGCAATGGCTGAGGCCACGCTAACCACACAAACTGAATCGGGCATTAAGCCCTCACCTTGCATTTGCCAAAGGACCATCAGTGCCTCATCAGGAAGCTCAGCTTGCTCGTAACCAGTGATCATGGCTGTCCAAGAAACTAGATCTCTATTTAACATGTTATCAAACACTTTTCGAGCATCATCGTTTTGGCCACACTTTGAGTACATATCAACCAATCCAGCCTCAACAAAACTATCGGATTGAAAACCACTTCTGATAATCTGTTGGTGAACCAGTCTCCCATTCCGAAGCCACGAATTCATGGCACAAGCCTTGAGTACAAATGGGTAAGTGTAATTGTTGGGTTTGATTCCTTCTCTGATCATTCGAGCATAAAGCTCGATAGTTTCTAGGCCAAACCCAGTTTGGGCATAAGCTCTGGTCATAGTGTTCCAAAGAAAAGAGTTGTTTCCACATATTCTATCGAAAAAAGACCGTGCAATGCTCAAATGGCCAAACTTTGCATATTTTGATATGATTTGCGCCTCCCAATGTGGATTTCCTTGAAGGATACCACTGATAAGCAAAGAAGTATGGATTTGTTTCAATTCTTCTAAGGATTTGCAGGACTGTAACTGAAGCTGGTAGAGTCCAGTGTCGAAAATGCAGTTTCTTGGGGATATTGGGTAGTTAGAAATCTGGCTTTTAGAGGTACAAACGAACGTGGATACAGCGAAGAGCTTGCTTTGAAGAGGTGGGCTCTGTGTTCTTTGCAAAATTTGTGATGAAAGAGAAGAGGGGAAGGAGGTAACAGTGGGAGTTGGGCATTCGAATAGATGATACATGTTACTGTGAAGGTTCCAGGCTTTTAAGCCAAGCATAAGCAGTTCTTGTGGGCGTTAAAGAAAGGTTTTGTATTTGGGAGACCGCGAGAAAGCAGGTTTGTATTTGGAGAGACCTTTTTTTTTTTCTTCTTTGCGAGAGAATAATTTTTCTAGTGCCTATTCGGTGCTCCTATGGGAGCAAACTATACATATGCTCTTTTTCCTAAAAGACCCCACTATAAAAGGGATATATATAAAGGACATGGTTTGTATAATGTTGCAGCCTTAAACAATCAAATTAAGCCGCATTTCTAAATTTTATCATAAGTATAATTTTGATGTCCAAATTTTTTAGGATGGCATGAGAATCCATTTTCATCTCCAATTATAAAATCTTAAACTCTAAAAATGGTTCAAATCAAGTAGACCTATAAATATTTGAAAATCTTGAAAATATATAGTCTAGATAATGTGTTGTAAGATTACACTATTTTTAGGACTCAAAAAGTTTTTTTTTCTTTTCATATTCATACATCTAGATGTTGAGATGATCAATTAGAGGGTTTTCCAACATCAAAAAACCTTTTATGATGATTTTTTAGGTGCATTTTAATTCTACATTTTAAAGTTGCAACCTTACATGAACTTTTTTCATATATGAAAATATATTTTTATATTTTTATCTGAGAATTTGGGTTCCAATTGAGATTTACTAGATGATTGACCTTGATAAAAGAAAAAAAATTTCAGTTATTATAGAACTACTTATCATCAAAAAATTGTACGGTGTGTGTTGGAATTCCATGCAATTCTAGATGCAATTCATTTTTTTTGTTCTCTTAAAAGTTGGTCACTAGAAAGCATAAAATCTGTTCGATTTCCTATGGTTTTTTATTTTTTCCTTTTACTTTTATTTATTTAAAGGCTGCAAGCCACCTAGTAAGCTTCTTTAACCACCCAAAAAATTGAAGCACTTCTTCGTATTTCGTAATATAAGAAGGCCATTGCTAAGATCTCATTTCGGAAAATTCATCTAAATTGCACCGTCATAATTAAAAATGGAAATGTATAATGAGATTATTTCCTTTTGATACAAGGACGTTATAATTATTATTAATCAATAGATGTAAATTTTGATAGTTGGAGATGTCATTAATTGGACATAAAGTTCAAAATAAAATTATTTGAATGTTGTGATACATTTTAATATATTGGATTTCACATCTAATGATTAAAAATAATTGTGACCTCCTTATAATAGAAATAAATGGTCTCATAATATACAATCCTATTAAATATAGGAAGTCCTAATATAATAATCTCAATTATGTAACATTCAGATGTATATCGGATTATTGATGGGCATTTCAACAATTCTGAAACAGATTCGAGACCTGGTCTTAGAAAAAAGTTCTGGCGTTTTCTCTCCCATTATTTTGGAAATAGATACGATGATAATAATGATAAAAAGGAATCTATCCATTGAGACCATTTCCCTTGCATCTGGATAGGTCATATATGCCCCAAGTAGTCAAATGTAAAATCAATTAGGATGCCATTTCCCTCAAATGGCACACACTTGGCTGTTTGATTTCACATTTCACAGTTAAAGTTCTTCTCTAGTGTAAACACGGGTCAAAGCATCAACACATGCCAACCACCATGCAACCCAAACAAAAAGGTCAACTGCCACATTAACACCGAAAAAAACACCAGAAATATGGGATTTGATTAATTGGTTGCATAATACAATGAATCACAACGTTACAAATAATACAAAAGAAGGTACGAAAAAAAAAACCCCTCTAGTTTCAACATTAATTGAATCACTAATATATTTATTGAAGAATGCATAGAAATTATTACAATGGCTTGGAGATGCATTAGACCCCAGGTGAATCCACTTGGTTCCAGAGAATCTCAGCATAATAGTTATCCTCCTCTTTCTTCTCCTCATCTATACAACTCACATCTACCATCTCCTCATCATCTTCTAGGACTTCGATATCCGTCACCTCTTGTTCAACATCCAACAGAGTGTTCTTTTTCTTTTCCAATTCCATACTTTCAACCAGAGCTTGCCTCATGGCTTGAGCAGTTGCAGGCCTATCACTACCCTGATACTTGGGTGCAGGCACAACAAATGGCAACATAATATCATCCAAATTTTCGGTAATTCCCTTAGCATTTCTACAAATATCAGGAGGAGGAACTATCAAAATCACACCAAGTTCGTAATTACAAATGTGGAGTCTTGAGCCCAATATAGAGCTCGTGGTTGGGCCTTGCTTTGAGCCGGATGAGTTTTTAAGAGGACGACCCCAAGCAGCTGGGCTGAAATTATGTGAACCACAATATATCCAACCAAAAGAAGTTGCATTTGATTTGCACCAAAAGCGTCTCCGAGCTACCTATAATTAAAAGCAAATTGGGGAAGAGGAAACATAACATCATATAAGAAACCAAAAGCAATTGTTTGTTCCTGACTGAGGAAAATTTTACCTTTTTCTGCTAAGCGTGAATTACAGAAGCTAATTGCATTTCTAGATTTTTGTTTTTACTTGGTTACCATATTTCTATTTAACTTCAATGTTCTGATTAAAACCCAACTAAGCTTTACCTTTCAACAGTACAAAATCTTTAATAGCATTTATAAGCAACAGTGGTTAACAGTATCCTATGTGACTCAAACCTCCCCTTTGTCTCTTACGATCATACACACTCACGCACAACACAAAAACAGATGTTTTTTATGTCCATGCAAAAAAAAAAAAAACATAAAATGCATCTACAATATGTGTTTTTGTGCATGTAAGCACATGCACATATTCTTTCATGCCTACATAGAAACCAATAGAAACCAACAAAAACACAACCATAAAAATAGTAATAATACCTTAACATGCATGGGATAGCCAACTCTACTGCATGGACGAGGGATAGCATCGTGAAACATATTAGCAGTTCTCAATCTCTGCCATGTTTTCTAACATGAAAAACAAACACAGTTAATCATATGAGGCTGACTAATTGCAATATATACAAGCAGCAATATGAAAACCATCAAAGGGTTTGGTACCTCAGAGAAGGAGAGGAGGCGTCTGTAAGGCCAGATTCCATGGGCCCCATTCCTCACTTGCTCAATTGTGGGGTATAAAATACGAATGGATGATTTCTTCTCCTCATGCTCAGCATTCCAGCAACCCCACTGTCAATAAAAAACATGTTAAAGGCCAGAGCATGCACACGCACACACAGTACGACTCAAAAACATTGATTGAAAGATAATATTACCTCAGGATCAGACTCTTGTGAATCATCAGATAAGATTGATCTTTTCCCTGTTGCTGTAGAAAATGCACCTAAAAAATTGGGCATCAAGAGATGTTCCTACAGAGGAGGCACCTGCAGTAAGAAAACTGGAACAATTAGCATTAATTTTGTAAACAATTATAAGATTCCGGCTATAACATTCAGAAAGAAAGAACAATAACTGATGCATACCATATATGAAGTCGATTTCCTGGGATTCTGGCCACTTGTACTGGGAAAGAACCTGATTTAAAGTGGAAGAACCAGATCCATGAGTGTCACTGATGAGTAAATGGAGAAAGAAGAAACAATGGCCTCGAATGCTCTACAATCAATCTTAACTACAATGATGCAACAACTACTAAGACCTATAATCCTTTTTCTTTTCAAATCATACTATTTATAGGAACATATGCATATCCTAACTCACTAATACACATCAAGGGCACGAATTGGCTCTGGTGAACCACATCAATGGATCATTCATGCACCATAGTTCATTGTGTTTTCATTTTTAGTAGTTATGTATAACTCATATTTAGCATTAATTCAGACTAAATCTGAGTCACAATGTAAAACTACGAATAGAATAACAACCATGTGCGAATAGCAACATGGCTAATGCAAAATCATCACCATAGCCTTATCCCAACATGCCTAATGCCAAATCATCGTCTGAAAGCATATTTTAACTTTCAGGGTTGACTACATATATGGCACAATATAGAGGGTGAAAATATTAAGGCATTAATATATACGAGCGCATAAACACTGCTCCCTAGGGAGGCAACTGAACATCTCCTCCCTCGCTCAAAAGACCTACTTAGGAGAATTTACTTAGTCTAAAATTTTAGGAAACACATAATAATTACTAGATGATTATTTTTACAAGAAAAAAATTTAAATTTTCAGTTTTGTGACACTTAGATCTAGCCCTTCAAAAATTGGGTAGCCTCTATTCAATCAAGGCATAAATTTATTTCTAGTAGATTGAGAGTTTCAAACGGAACCTTTTTTTGCCGAGATTATTCTATGGGTTTTAAAGATTACATGCCCAAATTTGATAGTTTAGAGCCCCGGCTCTATATAAGGCAAAGTTTATATAGAGCCGAGGCTTTGAACAATCAAATTTGAGCCTACCTCAAAACTTTCACTAGAAGAGGTTGTTTTGATGCTCAAATATCTTCAAATTGATCATCTCGACATCAAGATGCATGGACATGAGAACAAAATGGATTGCAGTTTTGGAAATAGTGTATTTCATAGATATGTCGATTTACATTATTTTTTAAACTTTAAACTTTATAAATAAATATGAAAATATAATTTAATGCTAT